AAATGCACGCTCACGTGCGGGCCTATCCCAGGGAAGGCATAGAGAAATGCACACCCACGTACGGGCCTATCCCGGGGAAGGCATAGAGAAATGCACGCTCACGTGCGGGCCTATCCCAGGGAAGGCATAGAGAAATGCACACCCACGTACGGGCCTATCCCGGGGACGTACGGGCGTATCCAGGGGGAAGGCATAGAGAAATGCACACTCACGTGCGGGCCTATTCTGGGGACGTACGGGCGTATCCCGGGGGAAGGCATAAAGAAATGCACACTCACGTGCGGGCCTATCCAGGGAAAGGCATAGAGAAATGCACACCCACGTACGGGCCTATCCCGGGGAAGACATAGAGAAATGCACACCCACGTACGGGCCTATTTCCCGGAGTTCATTCCTCGCACGTGGGCGTGCATCTCCCTATGTATACTTTCACTAGGGATAGGCTCGCACGTGAGCGTGCATCTCGCTATGCCTTCACTAGGGAGAAGCTCGCACGTCCCCGGAATAGGCCCGCACGTGAGTGTGCATTTCTCTATGCCTTCCCCCGGGATACGCCCATACGTCCCCGGAATAGGCCCGCACGTGAGCGTGCATTTCTCTATGCCTTCCCCGAGATAGGCCCGTACGTGGGTGTGCATTTCTCTATGTCTTCCCCGGGATAGGCCCGTACGTGGGTGTGCATTTCTCTATGTCTTCCCCGGGTAAATATAGGTAAATCGAGTATAAATCCTGCCACAGGCTGGTGTGCGTGTGACACCTCGTTAAGCTCTATGTGAGCATGCAGCGGTGGTTATGTTAGGATTGGCACGAGACCTTGAAGCGATGATGCAAGAATTGTGATGCGAAAATTAGGCTGAAGAATCTTGTTATGTATCACGAAGCATATCCAATTACTATTCACAATCGCAATGACTTAACACTGACAGGAAAGTAGGTCAGGCAAAATAAGCGTGTTTTCCCGTCGTGATAATGATTATACAATAATTGATTGTGATCACAAATTAAGTTTCGCCAACAATTTGAATTTGTAGTGACATGCTAGACATAAGATAAGTGATGTAATTATTGTAATCTTCATTGTAATAAGTATGATAATCTTATGTTCGATAGATTTTCTCTCATCCCAATGGTGGCTTGAGGGTAGGTTAGGTTTTCAATTGCTTTTAATTCAGGTATTCTCAGAATTACTCAAAGAAAAACTGCCCACAGAATCTCCTGAGCTAAGTTCCGCAGCTCGATGATAAAAATTGTTTTCACAGACCAAACTGCTAACACATAATCGGTTATTCTTTCCATAATTGCAGGGCATAGTAAAGCAAGGTGTTCTCAACAGAGCCAAACTCGTTGAGGGTGGCAAGAAGCAAAAGTAGGTACTGTTATTATAATTGTAGCAATGCTAATCAGCAGGGTTGGCGTTTGTGTAAGTGTGTCACTCATTTAGTAATGTCTAATAACATCCAGTGGTTTGATGAGTGAATTCGAATAATCGATTATCTGCTATATTGCAGGAAAAACTGGACAACTGTGTTTGTAGCTCTGACACGTTCCTGCATAATGTTCTTCAAGGATAATAAGCAACCTAGTGTGAGTTTTTAGTATACTTTTTATGTAGGTTTATATTTTATTATAAGATATTTTTGTATTAGTGAGTAGTTATCAGGAAGAAGTCGGTACGCGTCATGACTGCGACACATGGAGCCACCTGCAAGAGGGATGGAATATTTACTGTTTGTTATCAACGGAAGCCGTTCGTTGCAGTGCATTATTAACGTGTTTAATTACATTAAGCTTAACATATGAACAGTAGTACCTGAAACAATGCATAGTTTGCTGCTTGTTAGCTGCAATACTGATATATTCGCGGCTGTAGCACCTCGTTATCTGAAATACGTGTATTAGAATATACATACATATATAAATAAATTAATAATATATATATACATATATATCTTATAATACATATATTTATATTATTGTGCATAAGGATTAGACGCGGGAGCTGGACTATGGTGGGCCAGGAGTGCCATTACATAGATAACCATAGTGTTAGGATTAAGGTTAGGATATGGTTTAGAGGTGGTGTTAGGATTAAGGTTAGGAAATGGGTTAGAGGTGGTATTCGGATTAGTCTTGGTGTTATGGTTATAGATGTGGTTAGAATTAGGGTTATTGTTATTGGTTATGGTTGAAGTTATTAATGAATAATGAATTAATGAATGTTAGGTTATCAGAGCCTACCCAAACATTACAGTATGTAGTCTTGTTGCAGTCACTATGTTGCTTCTCTATCCTCATGTGCCTTATTGAATAGCGAACTTCAATCACTACACTGATTGCAGAAGTCCTCTGGATTGATATCGCCGCTGCTGCCCACGATGAGGCAGCCTGAAGACATCCTAGAGTTGGCTGGCTCACAGGTTGACTGGGCGTCGGAGAGGTCGAGCAAGCGCAACCCGTTCGTGCTGCGGCTGCAGGGTGGTGACGAACTGCTGCTGCAGACCGACGACGCGCAGGAGGCGAAGAGATGGTTCATAGCCGTCCGCGAGATTCTCAACAGCCTGGTGCGTACGGAGCGTGTGTGCGGGCGGGCGGGCGGTCGTGCGTGCGTGCGTGCGTGCGTGCGTGCGTACGGGAGTGCATACGGGCGGGCGTGCGCGTATGCGTACGGGCGTGCGTGCGTGTATGCGTACGGGCGTGCGTGCGTGTATGCCCGTGGAGGCGGTCGTAGCGTGCGGTGCGGGTGCGTGCGTGCGGGCGGCGGTCGTGCGGAGCGTGCAGGGAAGCAGGCGGTCGTGCGTGGTGCGTGCGTGCAGGCGGGCGTCGTGCATGAGCAGGAGGGCGTGTGTGCAGGTGGCGGCGTGCGTCACGGCGGCGGCGGTGGGGGGCGTGCGTGATGGAGCGGTAGTGGCGGGCGGCGTGCGTGTGGGCAGGCCGTGTGTGGCATGCGGCAGGAGGATAGTGTGAGGGCCGGGTGGAGTGCGTACCTAACGGGCGCGCGGGTGGCGGCGCCAGCGTTGTGCAGGCGGGTGTGCGGGCGGGCGCGTGCGTACGGCAGGCAGGGCGTGGGCGCGGGCGTGCATGCGGGCGAGGAATGAGACGTGTGTGCGGCCAGGCGGGGGTAGCGTTCCGGGCGGCGGCGTGCATGAGAGGGCGTGCGTGCGTGCGTGCGTGCGTACGGGTGAGCATTGCGTGCATAGCATGACGGGCGTGCGTGCGTGCGTGCGTGGCTGCTGGTGCGTGGCATAGTGTACACGGGCGTGGCCGTGCATGCGTAAGGCGGGCGTTCGTGCGTGCGTACGGGCCGGGCGTGTGGCTGGGCGAGGCCTGCATACAGGGCCGTAGACGTGCATGGCGTAGCGGCGTGGCGTCGGGCGTGCCATACGCGGCGTGCGCGTATGCGTTAACGGGCGTGCGTGGCGTGCTATGCGTACGGGCGTGACGTGTGTAGTGTGCGTAGGGCGGGCGTGCGTTCGGGCGGGCAGTGCGTGCGATACGGCGTGGCGTGCGTACGGCGCGGGCGTTTCGGGGCATGCGTAGGGGCGTGCGGTGTATGACGTACGGAGTCGTGCGTGGCGTGTATGCGATAGGGCGGGCGTAGGGCGGCGTGCGTAACGGGGCTGCGGTTACGCGATGGCGTGCGCGTATGCGCTAGCGGGCTGCGTGCGTGGTGTGTATTGCGTACGGGCGGGCTTCGGGCTACGTACGGGCGGGCGTGCGTGTATGCGTACAGGGGTGCGTGCGTGTATGACCGTACGGGGCGTTCGGGCCTGCGGATGGCGGGCGTGCGTAGAGCGTGCATGCGTCAGTGCGACGGGCGGGCGTGCGGCGTATGCGCTCACGCGTGCGTGCGTGTATGGTACGGGCGTGCGTGTGTGTATGAGTAGGTCGTGCGTGCATGGCAGGCGTACGGCGTGTGTGCGTGCAGGCGTAACGCGGGTCGCGGTGCGTGCAGGCGTGACGTGCGGGGTGCGTGCAGGCCGGCGTGCGTGCGTTGCGTGGAGGCGTAACGGGGGCGGGCGTGGTGCGTGTATGCGTACGGGCGTGCGTGCGTGCAGGCGTAAGACGTGCGTGCGTGTTAATGCGTACGGCGTGCGTGTGGAGTACGGGCGGTGTGCGGCATTGCGTAGAGCGGACGTGGCGGGCGCGTGTGGCGTGCGTGCGTGTGTGTGTGCATGTGCTTGTGCGTGCTTACTTGCGTATTGAAGTTGATACGTGTGCTGGTATGTTTTGCTGTGAAAGGGGATGCATGTGTGCGTGTATGTGTGTACATATCCTGTAGTTGAACCATGCAAGCAACAGAATACTGGTAGGATTACATTTCTGCAATATTTCTGTAATATAGTGTGTACATGCACTCGATATGTCATTATCTTTAAATTATATTATTTTTTTTGCGCCGTGGAACCCTGACAAGGTGAAGGTACTCATCCTACAACAATCCATATACCATGTAGAGGCAAGTATACTGACGAGGAACGTTCTTCTAAGTGAAGTCGCCCAGCTTGTACAAAGTCGGCATTTATTTTGAGAAGGTCAGATTAATGCTTCGCCTGCACACTACTTTTACAGTATACTAAATGACGCGAGAACTTTACCAATCCACACTTTAAGCTTCCCCCACTTCATTTTTATGTGTGGAGTGACGGCACAATAGTAGCGTGATGGATCATGAGTTGAATCTGGTGTGACTCAACCATTGCGGTATTCATGTGGGAAATCATAGTCATCATGTCACATGTGTTTTGGGCACGTGTTACATGAAGTAGTCAGGGCGAAGGAAATGGAGTATCTAGTGGTTGTTTTGGTGACCCGTTAGTCTGCCGTAGACGCAGCGTCGGCGCATATCTGGGCGCTGCATTGATGTTACAGGGAGTTGGATAAGCGGGTTTTAGCGTTAGGCAGTTCTCTAGGGTCATTGTGAAACTGGGGTAGGACGCGGTCTGGGGAGAACCGGCGTACATGTGGTGGTGTATGTGGTTTGTAGGAGTTTTGGGGAATAATATACAGAAGAGAGATGTAAGAGTAGTAGGAGGATTCGGTTCAGGTCGCGAGAGTACGCGCACGCGCGACCACTCAGCGGAGTATGTGCGCGGTCTTTCTCTAGATGTGTAACGCCGAGATGTGATTGTGTGTAGCGCTATTAAATGTTGTACAGTTACCACAACAATTTGGATATACTTCACTCATTTCATAGTGAACTCGTCATTGCATGTTTACAATAACAGACCAATCTTCCGCATTGGCGTGCAATTTCCTGCTGGTGACGCAGAGTGAAATCGCAACCCCGGCATATATATGTACGGGAAAAAATGTCTCAATTAACTATTCAACCACATGAATCTTGTCCTTGGGGCATTATGCGCGGGTAAAACACAGATGTGCCACGATGCCTGCTTCACGACCCATTGTTGGCATGGTACTTGCAGATGCTCGTCAATTCGAACTTTCCTGTTCGAAGCACAAAATGCAACAGTCCTCGGTGTTCGCCATCGGACTGCACAACTAACGATAGGCGCTTGTCCTATAGATACACGCTTCCTCTTGACGCTCCAACCATTTTAATGTCGTCGGCGATTAGCTTTCCTGTAGTAGATCCAAGTGTGCTCATGTTAGTGAACGCGAGTTCCACGAACGCTGAGCGAATCAATTCACACAGTCTCGATTGTCGTCCACTAACATCTGGTAGAGTTAGCGTGTTGGCGACATCGGCTCGTAACGGATGCATTCTCAATGTGAATTTGCGAGCGTAGCACATGTGACAGATGATGGCAAGTCGTTGGGCTAGCCTACGCAGTCGCCGCCTGCACTGCCACATTGCGATAAAACAGAAGGATGCGGAAAAGTGTCGCACCAGCGCGACGATAGAATCATTGCGGTGCCGGCAAGATGCGGAGCGTAGGCTACCAGGGGCGGGCGCAGATGTAGCAGCACGCAAGGCTGGAGAAGGAGGCTGGTGGTCTCATCTCAAGAAGAAATCTTATCACACTGCGTGCGGGAGAGCGAAGCGAGGTGCGCCACATGGAGGCTGCCGCAAGAGCATGCACGATGCGCTGGCGGAATGGCAAGAGTGGGTCAAAGAGAAGCAAAGAGCGGGTTTGTAAAAGAGAACAAGTAGTGGTCTGTGGCGAGAGAAGGGCAAGAGTGGTCGTAATCAGGAGAGGCAAGAGGGGTCGTAAAAGAGAAGACAAAGAGTGGGTCGGTGAAGGAGAAGGCAAAGAGTGGTTCCATAAAAGAGAAAGCAGTGAAGGGATTGCGAAGAGAAGGTGAAGAGAAGGCAAGAAGCTGCAGAGCTTCACGAAGCCAGCAGAAGAAGAAGCCGGGGAGTGATGCGGCAGGAGTCCACGGCGGGCCAGCGGGGATGAGCGACATGTCAATGGATGCTGGACCCATCGATGCTGCCCTACCAATCCCAGCGCATATGGAGACATGTATTTGCTTGAAGCTCCGCGGCAGTCCTCGGTGCGCATAACTTCAGTGGAGGGCGGTGCTTCCCGGGCAGTCACGTTGAGTGCTAGAGGATGCTCTCCGCTTGTGACGAAAAGCAACATCGAGACTCACTAGAGAACCGATTTCTGTGCTCGACGAGGCATGTTGATGTGCTAGACGGGTCTTCATTCGAACAGTATCGCCGAGGGAGGAGGAGAGGTGGGTTGGTGACACATTGGATATCATGCAGGTGAACACTGAGTGTTGGCTTCATTACTTACTGCGGATGAAGGCTGACAATGATGTGTTTGGCTGCAATCAGGATGCCAGGTGTGCGTGGTCTGTGTAGTGCGAGTAAGCAGGAGAGAACTGCTTCTAATTAACAAACAAATTGACAGAGACTTAAATGTTTTGGCTTTTGCTACTGCTTCCTCTCTCCTCTCTCTCTCTCGTCTCTCTCTCTCTCATTCCTTCTCTTCTCCGCTCTCGCTCTTCCTACCTCCTCTTCTCGCCCTTCTCTTTCTGTCCTACTGCTCTTTTCTTCTTTGCTCTGATTTCTCTTTTATCTTTTCTCTTCTCTTGCTGTCTCCTTCTCTTCTCTCTCTCTCTTCTCTCTCTCTCTTCTCTCTGCTCTCTCCTTTCTGCAGAACTCGGAAAGGTTGGCAAACTCACTCAACCAACTATGCAATGCTCTCGGCTTTCTTCACTCCCGAACTGCTCCTCGACCTGCTGTTTTTAATGAATTCTCTTGTTCATCTCACAACACCCATCTCTCCTTCCTTCCTCGCTTGATCCACGGGTCGAGCGGCCTCACTCTAGTCAGCCCGGTAATGCAGTTCACGAGTTGCATCTGTTCCGTTCTCAATATTGCCTCGTTCTCTCTTTCGGCGTCTACTCTATCTCTGCTCGATCCTCGAGCTTTCGGCTTAGCTTATTCTATTCTCTCTGCTGCAGACCCCTGATCAGCAGCACAGACTCGTCGTCAGTCTATTCTCTACGATGCAGAGGAGGGCGCGTCACTCAGCAGAACAAGCACAGCGACCACGGACGGCAACAAGAACCGGAGCGCATTGAAGCAAGAGGAGTCGTCGGAGTGACTTGACAAGGTGACTGTCGCCCAGGAGCGTACATGAGCAGGATCAATGCACCGGCTAGTGGAGCAAGTTATTCTTCCGAGCGGCGATCAACCTCGGGAGCACCACTGCGAGGAGAGAAGGGCATCATGAAGTGAGCGAGCGGCGGTGGCGAGCGAGAGAGAGAGAGAGCTCATGATATAGTTGTTCTCTGTTAAAGTAGGAGTAGTTACACGGATAGCCGAGGAGAAAGAGGGGAAGGGTTTCCGTATCTGGATAGTCTCCATTTTTTTGTATTGGTATGGAGTAGTTACCTTCAGAGTAGTCTGAGGAATCTGGAGTGGTTCCCAATTGCTATTATTTGTGTGGATATTGTGGCTTAGCATGCATGATGGCGGTGGTGCAGTGCGATGCGTTGGATGGGTGCAAGCCGTGGGAGTATGGACAATGACGTGTAGATGCTAGTCGTTGGGGCGTGACGGTGAATGAGTGAGCGAGCGAAGCGTATATGACGTGCGTAGCGGTGCGTGGGTGGTGAGCAATGTGTGTGAGTGATATGATTCAGGTTCTTGCGGAAGAGAGTGGGGAGGTCAATGAAAAGAACCCGCACCTGTGACTGATTATCGGAAATTTCGATTTTTGTATATATATAAACCTTAGAGTAATAATGTCGGACAAAGAAACGGTGGCAGGATAGCTGCGGACAGGTTAGGCAGTAGCAACGGATAGGGTGGGGTTGCTGAGTATGTTGCGCACTAACTGCGTGCGTAGTAGAAGAAAAGATGTGACAATGTCATGTAGCACAATTCTTCGGTTTGGTCGTGGACCTAGAGTGAGCGAGATAGTTAAGAATCACAATGCCTCTCAATAGGGTGATAATGATTAAGTAAATACGTTATCCGCGCCTAGATGTAGGCATATAAGGGCGTTGCTAGGTGCTCCAGTATTGCTTAACCGAGTGCCACGCAAGCCTCAGGTTGTGCGCAGTGATAGTAATGTATAGTAATATAACATACTATAATGAGTGCCCATTAGTAAGTACGGGCGCAGTGGCATGGACCGATACTCGCATGAGCTCACATGCGTAGACAGACCGAGGAATGGCTTATTCGGGTAGTCACTGCGAGCACTGTAGCGAGCGAGAGACCAGCGCGTAGCCGAAGACTTACATGAAGCGATGTGAGAGATCAGGTGAGACCGAGATAGAGAAGCAGAGGGTGAGTTAGACGCGCGGGAGTGGGTGTGGAGGGAAGATCATGTAATTCCATAATCTAATGGTCTTACTTGGAGAAACAACAAGTGGGGTATTTTTTGGGGGAGACAATCGTTAGAGGTGAGGCGAGAAATAGAATGAGATGCGCACGGCGTTGAACGAGAGGTAGATGAAGAGAATGAGGCTCGGCAGTAGGTATTGAGCAGCTGTCATTTAAGATAGTTGATTGGCGTAAATGTGGTAACAAATTGCTTGAGGACGGTAGATCTAAGGAAACAGAAACGAGAGCATGATGATCTAGCTTGTAGGAAATAACTTTATGGTTGGAAAATAGATTTTAAAGGAATCCTATCAAGGATCGTAACACAGATACGGAGTTACCAGTGTTAATGTATAATACCATTAAGGAGGTATTTGCGAGAGGCATTTAACACAGCATATCTGTAAGCTTATCATGTGAGTGTAAGTAGAAGTGACATGTTAGCATTTTGAATAATTAGGAGACAGAATAGTTCGAATCTAAATTCGTGTATTTAAATTTCGTTTCGCATTTACAATATTAACAAATTAACGATTAGTTGTAAAACAGGTTTTAACGGTAAATGTTACATGAAGAAAAGG